GTGGGTGAGTGGGTGGGTGAGTGGGTGGGTGAGTGGGTGAGTGGGTGAGTGAGTGGGTGGGTGAGTGAGTGGGTGAGTGAGTGGGTGAGTGAGTGGGTGGGTGAGTGAGTGGGTGAGTGGGTGGGTGAGTGAGTGGGTGAGTGGGTGGGTGAGTGGGTGGGTGAGTGAGTGGGTGGGTGGGTGAGTGAGTGGGTGAGTGGGTGAGTGGGTGAGTGAGTGAGTGGGTGAGTGGGTGAGTGGGTGGGTGGGTGAGTGGGTGAGTGAGTGAGTGGGTGGGTGAGTGGGTGGGTGAGTGGGTGAGTGGGTGGGTGAGTGGGTGAGTGAGTGGGTGAGTGGGTGAGTGGGTGGGTGAGTGGGTGGGTGAGTGGGTGGGTGAGTGAGTGGGTGAGTGAGTGGGTGAGTGAGTGGGTGGGTGAGTGGGTGGGTGAGTGGGTGAGTGAGTGGGTGAGTGGGTGGGTGAGTGGGTGAGTGGGTGAGTGGGTGAGTGAGTGGGTGAGTGGGTGGGTGGGTGAGTGGGTGGGTGAGTGGGTGGGTGGGTGAGTGAGTGGGTGGGTGGGTGGGTGAGTGAGTGAGTGGGTGGGTGAGTGGGTGGGTGGGTGGGTGAGTGAGTGGGTGAGTGGGTGGGTGGGTGAGTGGGTGGGTGAGTGAGTGGGTGAGTGGGTGAGTGAGTGGGTGAGTGGGTGGGTGAGTGAGTGGGTGAGTGGGTGGGTGAGTGGGTGGGTGAGTGAGTGGGTGGGTGGGTGAGTGAGTGGGTGAGTGGGTGAGTGGGTGAGTGAGTGAGTGGGTGAGTGGGTGAGTGGGTGGGTGGGTGAGAGGGTGAGTGAGTGAGTGGGTGGGTGAGTGGGTGGGTGAGTGGGTGAGTGGGTGGGTGAGTGGGTGAGTGAGTGGGTGAGTGGGTGGGTGAGTGGGTGGGTGAGTGGGTGGGTGAGTGGGTGAGTGAGTGGGTGGGTGAGTGGGTGAGTGAGTGGGTGAGTGGGTGGGTGAGTGGGTGAGTGGGTGAGTGAGTGGGTGAGTGGGTGGGTGAGTGGGTGGGTGAGTGGGTGGGTGGGTGAGTGAGTGGGTGGGTGGGTGAGTGAGTGAGTGGGTGGGTGAGTGGGTGGGTGGGTGGGTGAGTGAGTGGGTGAGTGGGTGGGTGGGTGGGTGAGTGGGTGGGTGAGTGAGTGAGTGGGTGAGTGGGTGAGTGAGTGGGTGAGTGGGTGGGTGAGTGGGTGAGTGGGTGGGTGAGTGGGTGGGTGAGTGGGTGGGTGAGTGGGTGGGTGGGTGAGTGGGTGGGTGAGTGGGTGAGTGAGTGGGTGGGTGAGTGGGTGGGTGAGTGGGTGAGTGAGTGGGTGAGTGGGTGGGTGAGTGGGTGAGTGAGTGGGTGAGTGGGTGAGTGAGTGGGTGAGTGAGTGGGTGAGTGAGTGGGTGAGTGAGTGGGTGGGTGAGTGAGTGGGTGGGTGAGTGAGTGAGTGAGTGGGTGGGTGAGTGAGTGGGTGAGTGAGTGGGTGGGTGAGTGGGTGGGTGAGTGAGTGGGTGGGTGAGTGAGTGGGTGAGTGGGTGAGTGAGTGGGTGGGTGAGTGAGTGGGTGAGTGAGTGAGTGACTGAGTGAGTGAGTGGGTGAGTGAGTGGGTGAGTGAGTGACTGAGTGAGTGAGTGGGTGAGTGAGTGGGTGAGTGAGTGGGTGGGTGAGTGGGAGGGTGAGTGGTTGACTGACTGAGCGCTTCCTTGCTGGGATGATATTTAATCTTTTTGGTGGCGTTGGGCGACGTCTTCAACTATCGCCCTACCCAAGATGCCGACGTCTCTCGCTCTCTCCCCTACTCGCAATGGCGACGTCGTCCTCTCCCTTACCCAAGATGGCGTCGTCTTTCTCTCTATCCCCTACTCAAGATGGTGACGTGTTCCTCACACCCATTACCCAAGATGGCGTCGTCTTTCTCTCTCCCCCCTACTCAAGATGGTGACGTCTTCCCCTCTCCCCTTACCCAAGATGGCGGTTTCAGCGTCTCCTGACAATAGCGATGTCTTCCTCCCACCCTACCCAAATGGTGACGTGCTCATCTCTTCTCCCTACTCAAGATGGCGTTGCCTCCCACACCCCCCCAAGATGGCGACGTCTTCCTTCACACCCGACCCAAGATGGCGACGTCTGCCCCCCGCAACTAAGATTGCTACGTCTTCCTCTCTCCCCTTACCCAAGATGGCGACTTCAGCGTCTCTCCCCTACTCACAATGGCGATGTCTTCCCCCCCCTACCCAAGATGGCGACGTTTTCCTCTCTTGTCCCTACTCAAGATGGCGACGTCTTACCACCCCCGCCCCACGATGGTGACGTTTTTCTCTCGCTCTCTCACCCCTACCAAAGATGGCGACGTATTCCTCGCTTCCCCCTACTCAAGATGGCGACCTCTCTCCACCCCTACACAAGATGGCGATGTCTTCCTCTCTCCCCCGCGCACCCGAGAAGTCGACGTTGTCCTCTCTCCCCCTACCCAAGATGGTGACGTCTGCCCTCGCAACTAAGATTGCGACGTCTTCCTCTCTCCACCTACCCAAGATGGCGGCTTCAGCGTATCTCTCCCTATCCAAGATGGCGACGTCTGCCGGCCTCCCCCGCAACCTAGATTGTGACGTCTTCCTCTCTCTCCCCTACCCAAGATGGCGACGTCTTCCTCCCCCCTACCCAAGATTGCAACGTCTTCCTTTCCCCCTACCCAATATGAAGACATTTCTATCTCTTCTAATCTACCCAAGATGGCGATGTCTTCCTTTCTCTACCCTACCCAAGATGGTGACGTCTTCCTGTCCCCCTACCCAAGATGGCGACGTATTCCTATCTCTCCCCATCTACCCAAGATGGCGATGTCTTCCTTTCTCTACCCTACCCAAAATGGTGACGTATTCCTCTCCCCCTACCCAAGATGGCGACGGCTCCCTATCTTTCTCCTCCTACCCAATATGGCGACATCGTCCCCTCTTCCCCTCCCTACTCAAGATGGCGGCGTTCCCCCTCTCTCACCCCCTACCCAAGATGGCGACGTCTTCCCCTGCTCAAGTGGCGATGGTTTAATCCCCCGCCCAAGATGGCGACGGCTTCCTTCCCCCTACCCAAGATGGCGACGTAGAGCGGAAGTTGCGTCATACCTTTACATTCCACCATCTTGGTCAAAGGTTGGTTGGGAAGGTGGTGGTAAATTTGGATTTAAAGCTTTCGTGACTGCAGTAATTCATAATCTTAGTTTTTTCGGTAAAGTCACGTTGAAGAGAAACAACAAAATAATAAAATATTATTTTTTTCTCTTCAACGTGACTTTACCGAAAAAACTAAGATTAAGGTGGTGGTAGTTTGTCGCCATCTTACGTAGGGTTGTGGTGGTGGAGGGGATGCAACATCACCCGACCGGAAATAATTTGGCCGGTAGTGACGTCGCGAGCCGGGTTAGCTCCTCCCCCGCCCCTCGATTATGAACGTGGACCGGAAGTCACGTCAAAGTTCAATCATCCGCCATCTTGGTCAGGGGGTATTCCCACCTACCAACGCCCATTACAATACCGTGGAGTCGCCATCTTACGTAGGCGTGGATGGGCAACGCCACGTGACTGGCGGTAACGTCACCATCCGCATTAACCCCCCCTCATCCCCACCCCTCTATTGTTTAACATGTATCGGAAGCCATCTTGGTAGGGGGTACCCTCCGACGCATTGCAATACGGCGGTCGCCATCTTACGTAAGGGTTGGTAACTACCACGTGACCGGTAGTGCCGTCACCAATCGGCTCAAAACCTTCCGCTCTATCATTAACGTATACCGGAAAATTACGTCATACTTCGATCTTCGGCCATCTTGGTAAGGGGTACCCCCAACATTATTCTTTGAGTCTTTCGGTAAAAGTCACGTAGATATTTTCTTTGAACCTATCGACGTGACTGTATCGAAAGACCCAAAGAATATTAATGCCCGCAGTCATGACAGCTTTAAGTCAAGATTTATACCCCCCCCCCCACCTCTTAATACAATACGGAGCTCGCCATCTTACGTAAGGGGGTGGGCAACGCCACGTGACCGGAAGTGGTTAACCCCCCCCCCCCTCCATAGAAACTCTGTTATTGACGTGAACCGGAAGAAGGCTATTTGTGTTGTGGCCGAAACGTCGTGATAATTTTATTGTCTTATTTAGTTTTATTGTTTTTATTGTCATTCTACGTGGTGGTGACTTTACCGAAAGAACCGAGAAGATGAATCCTTGCAGTCGCGAAAGATTTAAATCGAAATTTAGTGTACCGGAAGTTTAAGTCATACCTCAACCTTCTGCCATCTTGGTTAGGGGTATTCCCCAACCGCATTCATAGCAATACGCGGGTCGCCATCTTACGTAGGTTAGTTAGACTACGGCCACGTGACCGGTAGCGGCGCCACTTGACCCGGTAGCGACGTCACGAGCCGGCTCAGACTCCCCGCCTCAATTGTTAACGTGGACCGGAAATTACGTCAAACATCCGCCATCTTGGTCAGGGATACCCCTCCCCCATCCTTCACTGCAATACGCAGGTCGCCATCTTACGTAGGTTAGTGACACAACGGCCACGTGACCGGTAGCGGCGCCACGTGACCCGGAAGCGATGTCACGAGCCGGCTCAGACTCCCCACCTCAATTGTTAACGTGGACCGGAAATTACATCATACTCTCGCCATCTTGGTCAGGGATACCCCTCCCCCTTCCTTCACTGCAATACGCGGGTCGCCATCTTACGTAGGTTAGTGAGACAACGGCCACGTGACCGGTAGCGGCGCCACGTGACCCGGTAGCGACGTCACGTGACCCGGTAGCGACGTCACGAGCCGGCTCAGACTCCCCGCCTCAATTTGTTAACGTGGACCGGAAACTCACGTCAAACTCCCGCCATCTTGGTCAGGGATACCCCTCCCCCATCCTTCGCAGCAATACGCGGGGTCGCCATCTTACGTAGGGTGGGTGGGCAGCCACCACGTGACCGGCAGTGACGTAACAAGCCCCCCTCTTTAACATCCCCCCCCCACCCCGCCTCCCCACCTCACGGCGGCCATTGTTGTTTGCTTCCGTGGCTACCCGGAGCGGGAGTGTTAAAGTGGAGGGAACGAGAGGGAACGAGAGAGAAGGAAGGAAGGAAGGAAATAACGAACGAAAAACGCCAGCGGCGGTGGGAGGAAGGAGGGGAAGGGAAGGAAAGGCGAGGGAGAGAGACAGACGAAAGAAAAGAGAGGTGAGACGCGATTTGAGAACGGCGTTTTTTAAAAAAAAAATTTGTGTGCGTGTGTGTGTGTGGGGCTAGTGATGATGATGGCGGCGGCGGTGGTTCAGAGATTAAGGGTAATCGCTTTAAAGCGCTCAAAGTCGACGTTACGAACGTTCGCCGGACGTCCGGCGCGGCTCGCCTTCTTCCCCGCCCTGTGCTCGATCTAACGCGGTGCGTGAAGGCGGCGATCCGACCCCGCCAAGAGGCGGGGGTCGCCTCTCGAGGCGAGCGCCGCTCCCCGACGTTTCACCCGGACCGCTGCGGTTTTATCGATCGTTATGCCGAAATAAGGGTAATCGTGTGTCTCTGTGTCTATCTGTGTCTCTGTGTCTGTGTGTGTGTCTATCTGTGTGTCTCTGTGTGTCTCTGTGTGTGTGTGTCTCTGTGTGTGTGTGTCTCTGTGTGTGTGTGTCTCTGTGTGTGTGTGTCTCTGTGTGTGTGTGTCTCTGTGTGTGTGTGTCTCTGTGTGTGTGTGTCTCTGTGTGTGTGTGTCTCTGTGTGTCTCTGTTTGTGTGTGTCTCTCTCTGTGTCTCTGTGTGTGTCTGTCTGTGTGTGTGTGTGTGTCTGTGTCTGTCTGTGTCTCTGTGTGTGTGTCTCTGTTTGTGTGTGTGTCTGTGTGTGTGTCTGTCTGTGTGTCTCTGTGTGTGTGTCTGTGTGTGTGTCTCTCTGTGTGTGTGTGTCTCTGTTTGTGTCTATCTGTGTGTCTGTGTGTGTCTCTGTGTGTCTGTGTGTGTCTCTCTGTGTGTGTGTGTCTCTGTTTGTGTGTGTGTCTGTGTGTCTCTGTGTCTGTGTGTGTGTGTTTATCTGTGTCTCTGTTTGTGTGTGTCTCTGTGTGTGTGTGTCTCTGTGTGTGTCTGTGTCTCTGTATGTGTCTCTCTGTGTGTGTGTCTGTGTGTGTGTCTGTTTGTGTCTATCTGTGTGTGTGTGTCTCTTTTTGTGTGTGTCTCTGTGTGTGTCTCTGTTTGTGTGTGTGTGTCTCTGTGTGTCTGTCTGTGTGTCTCTGTGTGTCTGTCTGTGTGTCTCTGTGTGTCTCTCTCTGTGTGTGTCTCTCTCTGTGTCTCTCTGTGTGTCTCTCTCTCTGTGTGTGTCTCTCTCTGTGTGTCTCTCTGTGTGTCTCTCTGTGTGTGTCTCTCTGTGTGTCTCTGTGTGTGTGTCTCTCTCTGTGTCTCTCTCTGTGTGTCTCTCTCTGTGTGTGTGTCTCCGTGTCTGTATGTCTCTCTGTGTGTCTCTCTGTGTCTCTGTGTGTCTCTTTGTGTGTCTCTCTCTGTGTGTCTCTGTGTCTTTCTCTGTGTATCTCTGTGTGTGTGTCACTGTGTGTCTCTGTCTCTCTGTGTGTGCCACTGTGCGTCTCTCTGTGTGTGTGTCTCTCTGCGTGTCTCTGTGTGTGTGTCTCTGTGTGTGTGTGTCCGTGTCTGTGTGTCTCTCACTGTGTGTCTCTGTGTCACTGTGTGTGTCTCTGTCTCTCTGTGTGTCTCTGTGTGTGTCTCTGTGTGTGTGTGTCTGTGTGTGTCTCTGTGTGTGTGTCTCTGTGTGTGCGTCTCTCTGTGTGTGTGTCACTGTGTGTGTCTCTCTGTGTGTCTCTCTGTGTGTGTCTCTGTGTGTGTGTGTGTCTCCGTGTCTGTGTGTCTCTCACTGTGTGTCTCTGTGTGTCACTGTGTGTGTCTCTGTCTCTCTGTGTGTGTCTCTATGTGTGTCTGTGTGTGTCTCTGTGTGTGTGTCTGTGTGTGTGTGTCTCTGTGTGTGTGTCTCTGTGTGTGTGTGTCTCTGTGTGTGTCTCTCTGTCTCTGTGTCTCTGTGTGTGTCACTGTGTGTGTGTGTCACTGTGTGTCTCTGTGTCTCTCTGTGTGTCTCTGTGTGTGTCTCTGTGTGTCTCTCTCTGTGTGTCTCTCTCTGTGTGTCTCTCTCTGTGTGTCTCTCTCTGTGTGTCTCCGTGTCTGTGTGTCTCTCTCTGTGTGTCTCTCTCTGTGTGTCTCCGTGTCTATGTGTGTCTCTCTGTGTGTCTCTCTGTGTGTCTCTCTGTGTGTCACTGTGTCTCTCTGTCTCTCTGTGTGTGTCTCTGTGTGTGTGTCTGTGTCTCTGTGTGTGTCTCTGTGTGTGTGTCTCTGTGTGTGTCTGTGTGTGTGTCTGTGTGTCTCTGTGTGTGTCTCTCTCTCTGCGTGTCTCCGTGTGTGTCTCTCTCTGTGTGTCTCTCTGTGTGTGTGTGTCTCAGTGTCTGTGTGTCTCTCACTGTGTGTCTCTGTGTGTCACTGTGTGTGTCTCTGTCTCTCTGTGTGTGTCTCTGTGTGTGTCTCTGTGTGTCTGTGTGTGTCTCTGTGTGTGTGTGTCTCTGTGTGTGTCTCTCTGTCTCTGTGTGTGTGTGTCACTGTGTGTGTGTGTCACTGTGTGTCTCTCTGTGTGTCTCTCTGTGTGTCTCTGTGTGTCTCTCTCTGTGTGTCTCTCTCTGTGTGTCTCCGTGTCTGTGTGTCTCTCTCTGTGTGTCTCTCTCTGTGTGTCTCCGTGTCTATGTGTGTCTCTCTGTGTGTCTCTGTGTGTCACTGTGTCTCTCTGTCTCTCTGTGTGTGTCTCTGTGTGTGTGTCTCTGTGTGTGTCTCTGTGTGTGTGTCTCTGTGTGTGTCTGTGTGTGTGTCTGTGTGTCTCTGTGTGTGTCTCTCTCTCTGCGTGTCTCCGTGTGTGTCTCTCTCTGTGTGTCTCTGTGTATCACTGTGTGTCTCTGTCTCTCTGTGTGTGTCTCTGTGTGTCTCTCTGTCTCTCTGTGTGTGTGTCTCTCTGTGTGTGTGTCTCTCTGTGTGTCTGTCTGTCTCTGTGTTTGTCTCTGTGTGTGTCTCTGTGTGTGTCTCTGTGTGTGTCTCTGTCTCTCTGTGTCTCTGTCTCTCCGTGTCTGTGTCTCTGTCTCCAATGTAGCTCTACCTGCTGACGTTCGCTATGGGTGCAAATCAAAGTGTCGTGGGTTCTACTTTTCAATTTAATTTCTAATCTCGCGTGGCGTCACCGAGAGAGCGTGAGTCTTTCCTGCATTCGCGAAATCTTCAAATCAACACTGTCTCTCTCTCTGTCTCTGTCTGTCACACGTGGTTTGATGTTGATGTTGTTGTCTGTGTCAGAAACGTTGGCCCGACGTTGGAGACCGGCTGCCTTCCACCGCCTCCTCTGCCTCGGTTTGTTGCATCAGCGGCAGAGAGGCCCACAGGCTCAGTCACAGACTCACCCACAGACTCACTCACAGACTCACTCACAGACTCACTCACAGACTCACCCACAGACTCACCACTCACCCACAGACTCACCCACAGACTCACCCACAGACTCACCCACAGACTCACTCACAGACTCACCCACAGACTCACTCACAGACTCAGTCGCAGACTCACCCACAGACTCAGTCACAGACTTACCACTCACTCACAGACTCACCACTCACTCACAGACTCACTCACAGACTCACCCACAGACTCACCCACAGACTCACTCACAGACTCAGTCGCAGACTCACCCACAGACTCAGTCACAGACTTACCACTCACCCACAGACTCACCACTCACTCACAGACTCACTCACAGACTCACTCACAGACTCACCCACAGACTCACAGACTCACTCACAGACTCACCCACAGACTCATAGACTCACCCACAGACTCACCCACAGACTCACTCACAGACTCACTCACAGACTCACCCACAGACTCACCCACAGACTCACCACTCACCCACAGACTCACCCACAGACTCACCCACAGACTCACTCACAGACTCACCCACAGACTCACTCACAGACTCAGTCGCAGACTCACCCACAGACTCAGTCACAGACTTACCACTCACTCACAGACTCACCACTCACTCACAGACTCACTCACAGACTCACCACTCACTCACAGACTCACTCACAGACTCACTCACAGACTCACTCACAGACTCACTCACAGACTCACTCACAGACTCACCCACAGACTCATAGACTCACTCACAGACTCACCCACAGACTCACCCACAGACTCACCCACAGACTCACTCATAGACTCACTCACCCACAGACTCACTCATAGACTCACTCACCCACAGACTCACTCACAGACTCACTCACAGACTCACTCACAGACTCACTCACAGACTCACTCATAGACTCACAGACTCACTCATAGACTCAACACTCACTCACAGACTCACTCATAGACTCACTCACAGACTCACAGACTCACCCACAGACTCACCACTCACTCACAGACTCACCACTCACTCACAGACTCACTCACAGACTCACCCACAGCCTCACTCACAGACTCACAGACTCACTCACAGACTCACCCACAGACTCATAGACTCACCACTCACTCACAGACTCACTCACAGACTCACTCATAGACTCACTCACAGACTCACTCACTCACAGACTCACCCACAGACTCATAGACTCACTCACAGACTCAGTCACAGACTCACAGACTCACTCACAGACTCACTCAGACTCACAGACTCACTCACAGACTCACCCACAGACTCAGCACTCACTCACAGACTCACTCACCACTCACTCACAGACTCACAGACTCACTCACAGACTCACTCACAGACTCACTCACAGACTCACTCACAGACTCATAGACTCACCACTCACTCACAGACTCACTCACAGACTCACCACTCACCACTCACAGACTCACCACTCACAGACTCACTCAGACTTACTCACAGACTCACTCACAGACTCACCCACAGACTCACCACTCACTCACAGACTCACTCACAGACTCACTCACAGACTCACTCACAGACTCACCCACAGACTCACCCACAGACTCACAGACTCACTCACAGACTCACTCACAGACTCATTCACCAACTCACTCACCAACTCACTCACAGACTCACAGACTCACTCACAGACTCACCCACAGACTCACTCACAGACTCACTCACAGACTCACCCACAGACTCACCCACAGACTCACCCACAGACTCACCCACAGATTCACCGCTCACTCACAGTCACCACTCACTCACAGACTCACTCACAGACTGACCACTCACTCACAGACTCACAGACTCACCACTCACTCACAGACTCACTCACAAACTCACCACCCATTCACAGACTCACCACTCACTCACAGACTCACAGACTCACTCACCACTCACTCACAGACTCACTCACCACTCACCCACAGACTCACTCACAGACTCACAGACTCGCTCACAGACTCACAGACTCGCTCACAGACTCACCACTCACTCACAGACTCACTCACAGACTCACTCAGACTCACAGACTCACTCACAGACTCACTCACAGACTCACTCACAGACTCACCTCTCACTCACAGACTCACCCACAGACTCACAGACTCACTCACAGACTCACCACTCACTCACAGACTCACTCACAGACTCACTCACAGACTCACTCACAGACTCACAGCCTCACCCACAGACTCACTCACAGACTCACAGACTCACTCACAGACTCACTCACAGACTCATAGACTCACCACTCACTCACAGACTCACCCACAGACTCACAGACTCACTCACAGACTCACTCACAGACTCACTCACAGACTCACTCACAGACTCACCACTCACTCACAGACTCACGCACAGACTCACCACTCACTCACAGACTCACTCACAGACTCACCCACAGACTCACCACTCACCCACAGACTCACCCACAGACTCACCCACAGACTCACCCACAGACTCACTCACAGACTCACTCACAGACTCACTCACAGACTCACAGACAGACTCACTCACAGACTCAGAGACTCACTCACAGACTCACCCACAGACTCACAGACTCACCCACAGACTCACAGACTCGCTCACAGACTCACAGACTCACTCACAGACTCACCCACAGACTCACAGACTCACAGACTCACTCACAGACTCGCTCACAGACTCGCTCACAGACTCACTCACAGACTGACAGACTCACTCACAGACTCACTCACAGACTCACTCACAGACTCACCCACAGACTCACTCACAGACTCAGACTCACCACTCACTCACAGACTCACAGACTCACCCACTGACTCACAGACTCACTCACAGACTCACTCACAGACTCACCCACAGACTCAGACTCACCACTCACTCACAGACTCACAGATTCACTCACAGACTCACTCACATACACACCCACAGACTCACCCACAGACTCACCGCTCACTCACAGACTCACCACTCACTCACAGACTCACAGACTCACTCACAGACTCACTCCTCACTCACAGACTTACTCACAGACTCACTCAGACTCACAGACTAGCTCACAGACTCACCCACAGACTCACAACTCACTCACAGACTCACTCACAGACTCACTCACAGACTCACTCACAGACTCACCCACAGACTCACCCACAGACTCACCCACAGACTCACCCACAGACTCACTCACAGACTCACCCACAGACTCACCCACAGACTCATCACTCACTCACAGACTCACCACTCACTCACAGACTCACCCACAGACTCACAGACTCACTCACGGACTCACTCACAGAATCACCCACAGACTCACCACTCACTCACAGACTCACCCACAGACTCACAACTCACTCACAGACTCACTCACAGACTCACCCACAGACTCACTCACAGACTCACCACTCACTCACCACTCACTCACAGACTCACTCACAGACTCACCCACAGACTCAGCACTCACTGACAGACTCACCACTCACTCACAGACTCACTCACAGACTCACTCACAGACTCACTCACAGACTCATAGACTCACCACTCACTCACAGACTCACTCACAGACTCACCACTCACCACTCACAGACTCACCACTCACAGACTCACTCAGACTCACTCACAGACTCACTCACAGACTCACCCACAGACTCACCCACAGACTCACCACTCACTCACAGACTCACTCACAGACTCACCCACAGACTCACCCACAGACTCACTCACAGACTCACTCACAGACTCACTCACAGACTCACAGACTCACCCACAGACTCACCCACAGACTCACCGCTCACTCACAGTCACCACTCACTCACAGACTCAATCACAGACTCACTCACAGACTGACCACTCACTCACAGACTCACAGACTCACCACTCACTCACAGACTCACTCACAAACTCACCACCCATTCACAGACTCACCACTCACTCACAGACTCAGACTCACTCACCACTCACTCACAGACTCACTCACCACTCACCCACAGACTCACCCACAGACTCACTCACAGACTCACAGACTCGCTCACAGACTCACAGACTCGCTCACAGACTCACAGACTCACTCACAGATTCACTCACAGACTCACTCACAGACTCACTCACAGACTCACCTCTCACTCACAGACTCACTCACAGACTCACCACTCACTCACAGACTCACTCACAGACTCACTCACAGACTCACAGTCTCACCCACAGACTCACCCACAGACTCACTCACAGACTCACAGACTCACTCACAGACTCACTCACAGACTCACTCACAGACTCATCCACAGACTCACTCACAGACTCATCCACAGACTCATAGACTCACCACTCACTCACAGACTCACCCACAGACTCACAGACTCACTCACAGACTCACTCACAGACTCACTCACAGACTCACTCACAGACTCACCACTCACTCACAGACTCACGCACAGACTCACCACTCACTCACAGACTCACAGACTCACCCACTGACTCACAGACTCACTCACAGACTCACCCACAGACTCAGACTCACCACTCACTCACAGACTCACAGATTCACTCACAGACTCACTCACATACACACCCACAGACTCACCCACAGACTCACCACTCACTCACAGACTCACTCACAGACTCACTCCTCACTCACAGACTTACTCACAGACTCACTCAGACTCACAGACTAGCTCACAGACTCACCCACAGACTCACAACTCACTCACAGACTCACTCACAGACTCACTCACAGACTCACTCACAGACTCACTCACAGATTCACCCACAGACTCACCCACAGACTCACCCACAGACTCACCCACAGACTCACCCACAGACTCACCCACAGACTCACTCACAGACTCACCCACAGACTCACCCACAGACTCATCACTCACTCACAGACTCACCACTCACTCACAGACTCACCCACAGACTCACAGACTCACTCACGGACTCA